CCACCATAGCCATGCACCTTCAACCTCCGCCCCTCCCCTCCTTCACCTACACCCGTCCGCCATAGCCATGCTCCTTCAACCTCCGCCCCCCCCCTCCTTCACCTACACCCGTCCGCCATAGCCTTCAACCTCCGTCTCCTTCCTTCACCTACACCCGTCCACCATAGCCATGCACCTTCAACCTCCACCTCCCTCCTTCACCCACACCCGTCCACCATAGCCATGCATCTTCAACCTCCGCTCCCTCCTTCACCTACACCGATCCACCATAGCCATGCACCTTCAACCTCCATCTCCCTCCTTCACATACACCCATCCACCATAGCCATGCACCTTCAACCTCCAYCYYCCTCCTYCAYCTACACCCACCCACCATAGCAATGCACCTTCAACCTCCACCTCCTTCCTTCACCTACACCGATCCACCATGGCGATGCACCTTCAACCTCCATCTCCCTCCGTCACCTACACCCATCCACCATAGCCACGCACCTTCAACCTCCATCCTCCTCCTCCACCTAGACCCATCCACCATAGCCATGCACCCTCAACCTCCACCTCCCTCCACCTACACCGATCCACCATAACCATGCACCTTCAACCTCCACCTCCCTCCTTCACCTACGCCCGTCCACCATAGCCATGCACCTTCAACCTCCGCCCCCCCCTCCTTCACCTACACCCGTCCGCCATAGTCCTGCTCCCTCAACCTCCACCTCCCTCCTCCACCTACACCGATCCACCATAGCCATGCACCTTCAACCTCCACCTCCCTCCACCTACACCCGTCCACCATAGCCATGCACCTTCAACCTCCGCCCCCCCTCCTTCACCTACACCCGTCCACCATAGCCATGCTCCTTCAACCTCCGTCTCCTTCCTTCACATACACCCGTCCACCGTAGCCATGCACCTTCAACCTCCATCTCCCTCCTTCACCTACCCCGATCCACCATAGCCATGCACCTTCAACCTCCATCTCCCTCCTTCACGTACACCCATCCACCATAGCCATGCACCCTCAACCTAGATCCTCCTCCTCCACCTACACCCATCCACCATAGCCATGCACCCTCAACCTCCACCTCCCTCCTCCACCTACACCGATCCACCATAGCCATGCACCTTCAACCTCCACCTCCCTCCTTCACCTACGCCCGTTCACCATAGCCATGCACCTTCAACCTCCGCCCCCCCTCCTTCACCTACACCCGTCCGCCATTGCCATGCTCCTTCAACCTCCGTCTCCTTCCTTCA